AACCGACTTAATTAGCTGATTATTAGCGAATTGCTGTGTTATGTCTGTCATCGTTTAGGCTTATTTGAAGTTTTGGACGGAACTTGGCTCAGTGATTTGGAACTAATTACCAGATAACCGCCGCTATTCTGACTACTAATTCTGACAGTTGGTTTCCATAGTTATTAATGTAGTGAACGATTAATCAAAAGATATGACGTATTCAGTACTTAGTGTGATTGGCTTTATGATTGAAGGTTACGCCCTAGAGTCTTTTTACTGCTTTGTAATTGGTTAGAGTTTTGAAAATGAATAAAGAGAGTTTGAGTTGGTCTTGGGGAGCACAGCACGATAGACGCAGTCTGAGAGTCCAGTCCTGGAGAGTCTTGGGGCGAGCCTTGACGCAGTCTAAAAGAGTCTTGGGTCAGCCTTGCGATAGTCTTGGGGATTTTTCCCCAGGGCGCCGTGTCTTATAGAGTGCTCGATTGACCGACTAAGACGAGAGCTGAAACGTATTTCGTTGTGTGTGCCTTATTTGACTGTAAAGTATAAGTGACTTTCCCGATCCCGCACCTCAAAGGGACGCGATAAAGAGACGAGACGATATTCCCCCCTGACAAGTGTGGAGACCCCCGTGGAGAAGAATTACCCCCTGATACTTCTAATGAATGGAACTCTTATTCAATTTACGAGTAACGAACTTTGGTGCTAGAATATTCTAGCTCAATAAAACGTGAAACAATAATACAATGGAATGTTAAGTGTATGTGCTAACATGTCTTGAGTACAGCTAATTTACGTGGGAAAGTTAGCACGTACAAACGGAAAGTCGTTCATCCCATACAAGTAACAGTAACACAACCCAAATAACCAAATACCGTCTAGTAGTATACTGTCTCCATGCAACTATGCCTTGACCGGCTTAAATATGTCAGAGATAGAACACATAGTTTACAAAAATGACATATATGAAAAAAATATATGACTGTGCAAATCAGTATGCATTTTTTGTGTAATCTATTTGTCTTATTTAGGAATGATAGGGTTTTCATATTATGCGGCGACGGAACCAGTGGTCTAATTGCTGGTGTTATCTTTCTACTAGAAATATTCCGATTGAATTTTTGTTACTTGTTCAACTACGCATTAAAACTCATTTATAGCTTTGAAAAGTGAAAAGGTGGAAACATAATATGCAATAGAAATGGACACAGATTCAACTGCAACCAATTTTGAATCGGATCGGAACGTCACGTGACAGACACATGAATATTCGTATGAAAGACGCACACAACGTGTCAGCTGCAGAATGGCCACATGGCGGTCATTTAAAAAAACGTCAAATATATACATATAAATTACTATGTATATGTTTAGTGTCAAGAGCAGGAATGGTTCATATCGTGGAAGGCGTCTTCATTTTGTATTTATTAGTAAACATCAGATATTAGTATATTTTAGAATGTATTTTATTACGCGAGCACTGACACCAGTGCCATTCGAGAATTCAACGATGAACAATTTTGTATGAAATTGTGTATGGAATACAAAATACTAGTATACCAAGTTGTTCTATCTGAATACCAGACAACCATACTACTCTGGTCAGATCATGTACGTGCGAATATATACGTTGATATTCTAGTTGATATGATTTATCATAGATCAACATGACACGGAAACAGTATAAATAGCACGTACCAGTAATACAAAGCGCATGCGTTTGCGGTTTTATCATATGGCGACGTGGCCCATTCGAACACAACCCCAATGTAGACCTTAAGTTCCCCAAAATCGCATTTATTTCTGAATGAATAAATCTCCACTAGTCGAACTGACTGTGACACACTCATTTGAAGTTACACTTGATCATTGGGTTCGCCGTCATTTATTATTGGTTAGGGACCTAATGTGCATGAGTCCGGTGTAACCACCATTTACGTTATCGATATTCGGTTCACACACCGACAGACTAACAACTTCCTGATATGATACTGCAGACTCGAACATGACTGATTCATTCGATTTTATACCTACCCGAGAACGAGACTTATCCACGAGACATTACGAAGTTTTATTTATTTTACCCGATTATCAAAGAAAGCCTCTTCCCCCAAGTCTCGTTTCCGATGAGATAAACTATGATGCCAGTACGTTGCGAGGTTGACAACGAAAATGTTAATTGTCATTAAACAAACTGCACTGTAACACACGCAATGTCGACACAGTTTACCCATTACTCGTACTATATACTGTAAATTGGGAAATAACGTCTTATTTCAGATCGCGGTTTCCCAGCAACACAATGTATTTTGGTAGTTATAACACCCTCCGTTCGATAGTATACATCTCCGGGTGCTTGAATCAGTACCCTGGTTTTATTACGTACATATGTGAGCACATCTGGTGTTTGGACGTGATGTTTTACTCGTTGTGTAAACAGGGTGGACGTGACACTCGACTGACGCGAATAAACAGAAAACAATGTCAAAGGTCAAAACAGGCTATCTAGGGGACTAAGTTTTATCTGGTACATGAATGTAGGGATCACGCCACTATTAGTTTCTCCATTATAGATGGTAACTTACTTATACAAGCAGGCAGTGTAAAACAGATATTGAACATTGTTTTGCTCTGGGTGACTGCCCGGAGATGACTGCCTAATGTTTTGGGAATTGATCGAGTGGTAAATATTGCCAATAATAAAACTGAAGCTACTGAAATCGACATGTTACGACTCTCGGGCCGCGTGGCAGCATTCAAGTTACCCAAAAGTTAGCACAGCCGACTACTCACTGCAGCCCGCAATTGAATCGGAATTTGTACAACTTTTACAAACATGTCGTTAATCAAAATTAAATTGTATAAGCTGTGATTGTACTTTTAGCGCAACAAATGTATTCACTTCATTTTTTTAAATATTTGTAAATTTCAATGGCAGTCGAATCCAATCTGCCAATCAATGAGCTCAGTCTGAAATGACGTCATTTAACAACTTTCCAATCGGCCAATAGTAGTCACTCGTTTCAACTTGAATTGTGCATTATTTATAAGGATAAAAAAATGCATTTGTTGTGAGACTGAACATAGTTCGAAGTTGTTGAAAATAATTGTTTCAAGTAATCATTAAAGTGTCATTGTCAGGAGAGTAGATATACATTCGGCTTATAACTCAAACATTTGCAGACGATTGCAAGCCAGTACAGGTCAATGACCTAAGTTATACTGCTGTTCTTAAAAAAAATCTTCCTTTCCCCCTGCAGTAGTTATAAACAGGAGTGACAACTTTACAAACTTGAATTAATTCCATGATCATCGGGCCTGTGCCCATTTGCTGTATTCACTGTAACGGACCAGTGGGTGGGAATGATGTTCGTAATCTTGTTGACAGAGCGACACTGTGACATCCCTGCTTCAATCATGGTTGTTGGATGGGAGTCGTTCCGATAACCAGTTTCGGAATGTTTCCTTAACACATGGGTGATTCACTCGTACAATGAACTATAGTTAGTCGACCCTGACTATGCTGTGCATCTTGTGTCGATTCACCCGCCGTGAGGACACCGACTCTCTCTACTGTCAGTTGTTGTAACGGTAATCGTTACGGCAATGGTTTACACTGAACCATGCTGAGTTAAAATTCTACCTAGATCCCAGATTTAGATTTATTCACTAATCATGGGTGCGACTTTATGCAGGGAGAACCATGGTTAAGGTGCCCGTGTTTGACCGGGCTCTCGTTGACGGCAGGACAGCTCATTAAATTGCCATTATGTCGTCATGATTGGAAGGTGGAACAGAATCCCAAACATGGAATATGTTTTCTGTGGAAAACACACGATACGTCAGAAATCGGTCTTTAATTTTCACATACAGAAGTCGGAAAAAACAACAGTGACATTTCAGGTCCAGCACAAAAATATTCAATCAAAAAGGGAACTGATCGTTTGGCTAAAATAGTACTATTCTCTATACCATGATAGCAATATACATTGTGCTATTAATACTTTAAATAAGTTTCACAAAAAATAATAGAATAGAATAATAACCCCAAACATGTAAACCAAATCCGACGCCTGCAACTCGACACATGTCATCTGCCTTGGGGTAAATTCTGACTCAATTTAAATCACTAACATTGTTTCCCCGTCTGTAATGCGAATCT